ATTTATTATGAGATGTTTTATACATGAAATTTGTTCCTTAAGGGTATTTTTACTAAATATTTTTATTGACTGGGTTAATGTAGAGATATAGTCAATATAAAGTCTCATTTTACCATTGTCCAATATATATTATAGGTGTTTAGACTCAGAGGGTTTTTAAGGAAGTTTAGAAATTATGTAGCTGTACCATCAGTACAATCCACAAATATTCACCATTCCTTTCAGTGTTAGGGTTCTCAGTATTTTATTTGATGATCATTTAATTGAACCAACTTAAATTAAAACAATGTTTCTCTATTAGGTTAAAAAAAACTTTATCTTTTTTCATTTTCAATCATTGGTTCTGGTTTTCATCCATTTCAACTTTGGAACTGCAGCTAAGCTATTTGTCTTTCAACCATTGGGGAGGTAATTTCCTATAGTCTGGATACAATTGGATATAGGTTTAAACTAGCCTTTTTAAAAAATAGTTTCATGCTACACTTTGTTTATATTAGATGATGAGAAGTTAAAACTCCAAGGACATTATATTGTGAAATAATATCAATGCTGGTCTCATTGAAATGACTGACATAAAATGATTGCTCGTTCCATTTCATCTCACTTCACTTTGCCATTCTATCAGGACCTGATTTTGGCTGTAGGAAAAAGAAATGAACAGACAATGACTTATATCAGGTAAGAAGTAAGTCTCGCCATGACAAGAGGAGATAAGAAACACGCATTGAGAGGGGATATGACAATTCCTTTATCGCATCAGTGTCCCAGGAGCCTCTCTTTCTAAAAATGTTCACAGCAACAGTAACTATGATATCTCAAGCAGAGCATACAAGCTAGGTCAGCCCTTTGGCTTAAGTAACGTTTATCAAAGCACCAGCCCAAACATCTCTTGTTGGTTTAGTGAGATGATAGTCACATGGCTACCTCCACATGACATTTAGTATTTTAAAAGATAATCTTATCAGAATAGGCAGAGTGAAAACAAGATGGGTCTCTGACAAACTTTCACAACTTTCCACAACCCCTAGTATCTATTACAGCTAAGATTTGCTTTGTGATACAAGGCCAATTTTATTTTACAAAGTTTCACATAGGCCTCTCCCACAACACCTCCTTCAGGTTTTTGTCATACAAATTCAACTGAATGCTGGCATTATTTTAATCTTTACAGGTTCCACCATTTCTTCATCATTTTTAAAAAGCTGCAAATGCCTGATATCTCTTGTGTTTTGTTCACTTTTAACAAAACAAAAAGAATAAATTGGTGTCAATATTTAAGCAAAGTGTTACGTGTATGTGATAGGCCATAAGGTATAATAAAAAATAGGACGTTGGGCATTTAAGTTATGAAAATTTTAAAAACATAAGTAACATTTGAAAAATTTGAGGAAAGTTTTGCTCTCTTATGGTAGCCTGTGTTGAGATGGCTGTACAACTTTTCTTGTATAAACACAGCTGTATATAGAATGTGTTAGCTTTTTGTTGCTATGACAGAGCACCTAAGAATAACAACTTGAGAAGAGACTTATTTTGACTCATAGCTACTGAGGTTTCAGTTTATGGTTGGTTGGCTTCATTGCTTTTCGGTCTGTGAGGAGGCAGAAGCAGCATGGTAGAAGGACATGACAGAGAAAAGCTGCTCGCATCATGGCAGCCGGAAGTGAGTGGGACGGGATCAAAGTCCTGTGCTGGTGGCTTTCCTTCTTCCACTTTTGCTTAATCCTGGCCCCAATGCTAGTGAGTGGTGCTGCCTGCATTCAAGGTGCTTCTCCCCTCTTAGTTTACTGTTCCACAAGCCAATCATCTCTGGAAACACCCTCACAAACATAGCTATAAGTGTGCTTCACTAATTTTATAGCATTTCTTGACCAAGTCAGTTGACAATGAAGATTAGCTATCATAGAGAAGTAAAAATTAGCATAGTTAGGGTTGATGGAAGAGATGTGTCTTACCCTTTTTTTTGTATGATAGAAGAGAGGTTTTAATACAGCTGACTGTTGGAAGATAGAAAAAATTTAACTTGGAGTTTAAGCAAAAAGAAATTTATTTTTCACATAAAGGATAGGAATGGAGCCAAGCTTGGGCTCAACACGATTAAAGAATTGAAATATCCTAAGTCTTCCCCACCACCACCAGTCCTTTCTCATCTTTATTGTCTTTCTCCATTGGCTTCATTTCCTTAGGAAAACTAAAACTGTATGACTTATAGATGATGAACATTGTTTTTGTAGAAACACTGGAAAAATTTCCCACCAAGTCCAATTAGAAGAAATCCTATGGTCAGGGGTAAGGTTGTGGTAAGTGATGAGAATAGGCTGAACTACTGGAGACATTTTTGGCTGTGAACATCCTCAAATTTAAAAAGTCCCTTGGCTCCATCCCAGCTTTGCACCTGAAACCATGTTTTCTAGATTCCACACCAAGTCCAGGTCTCAGAAACTTTTAACTTGTTTAGCCACATATCAGTGCTTTTTTTAAATTCCATAGTTACCTGCATTTGTGAAAGCTAGATGTTTGCATGTTAAGTGGTAAAGTAAATGGTGATAAGCTCTTAAGCCCAACAATGATGTGTGTTATAAATTAAAGAAGAACGGGGGCGGGGGGAACCACAACGTTCATCTTCCACTCTGTTATCCAGGACACAGTCTTGAAGACAGAGATTACAGGGGCTGGGGATTTAGCTCAGCGGCACAG